TTTGACAAGCACTGTGGCAATTGGACAATTAAAACAGACATTCGGATGGCGGGGGAAGAAGAACAAACTGGGGAGGAGGAGAGAGAGAATGGTGCGGCAATGAAGGAGTGAAAGCCCAGAATCCCTGTGAATGTTCATTGAAACTAATAAAATTTAATAAAAAAAAAAGGTTTATAAACACTCTTAGGGAAATCTAGTGGCTTAGTGTCTTGCCAATGCAATGGCACAGGATTTGAATCATCAGCTTCTTTCTGGTAGAAGATCAGACAATCTCCTCCCAAGCAATTTTCTACCTCAGGAAACCCTCTGTAGGGTCACTATGAATCGATTCCCACTCGATGGCACATAACAACAGCAATAACATGCATCCTTCACAGTTTCCCCTTGAAAGAGCTGACGTCCACTTTGCCTCTTTGGCACACCTTTCATACTTTGCTCCCCTTCCCCTTGCCTCTCGGTTTATGCAGACTGTGTGTATGTTGTAATGGTTGTGTTTCTAGCTCTGCTGGGTTGAGAGGGATTTCTCAAGGGTAAGCACAGTCTTCTAAATTGTTCTGCAGTATCCAGAACCCAACTAGGGCACAGGTAATCCTAACCTATATTGCTGAGTGACATAAAGTATGTAAGAGAAATGATGTTTTGAAAGTATTTTGTGTGGCAAGGGTGACAGAGTCTACACTGCCACATTCTTTCCATCACCAAGAGGTAAGTCAGAAGTCAGAAGAAAGAAACTAAAGAAGGGCTCTCAGGATGAAGAAAGGCAAAAGCTGAGTGAGCTTGGCTGGAGTCCCAAACTGGGGGAGGAGAGAGGGTAAGTGGTGCCAGCTTGGACACAAGCAGTAATTCATTTTCCCCCAGTGTGGGCTGGGATCCTCGGGGTAAAGGGCAGACATTGCTGATATTTGCTCCTGGTGTATGATTGTGTCACTGGCTGATATCATCACTTACGAGATGCCCTGGTGAGGTGAGGAGCTTGTTCCTATGTCTGCTTTTGACACCAACGGTAGTGACACCTCCACCAGAGGGCAAGCAAACCAAGGGAAGAATGGACTGGAGAGGAAGCTCAGGCCAGTCCTCCTTGTTTGCTTGCAACTCTCCTCATGGTCAGAGGCAGAAGTGATAGAGAGGATAAAGATGGAATCCACTGGCAAGATCACACCTTCCTATAAGGTAACGACCTATCACTGGGGAGGAGCACTGAGTCTCTGGCACGGCGCAGATCCATCAGGGAATTCTGGCTTTGCCCCTCATTGGTCATACTGCTTTAATTTCTTGAGGCTTGATTTCCTCATTACTAAAACGGGGATAAAGGCAAACAAGGTGGATTGACTATAAGCTTCAATTATAGAAGTCAACACGTTTTCATTCTTTTGACTGACTTGATGACCACTAACAACAACAAATAATATCTTTTAATAATGAGGAAATATGACAAAGTTACAAATAGGTGGTGATGGGGAACATAAAACCAGTCCCACTGAGCTGATTCTGACTCATGGTACCTCCATGTGTATCGAAGTAGACATGTATTTTACTCTGGAAAAATCCTAGACTATTTAGTGGCTATTGATAACCGTGTTTTTCTTCCAAGGTGCCTCTAGCTGGACTTGAATTGTTAACTTTTCTATTAACTGAGGATATTAATAATTTGTGTCACTCAGGAATTTTAAAAAGTGAGTATTTTAAAATTAAGTATTTTAAAAGCAGTGAGATTATTCTGTGTGATATATACGTATGATATTATTTAACATGGATTTATTAAAATCCATAGAACCTGGTCTTAAAATCCATAGAACCTGGTCTTAAAACAATGTGATAATTGGCCATTAGTTGCCAGAAACAATAAAGCATCACAAATAGGAGAAGAAACTGGAACGCCTACCCAATTGTCTCCATGAACAAAGACATTTTTACAAGACCTGAAGAACTGGTTGGTGCCTGGCTACCATTACTGACTGTTCTAGTCAAAGACTCTTTGGAAGAATCTAGATCAAAAGGGTAAAATGAAGAACAGAATCTCAAGTTTTCATGGAATTCAGAGTTTCTGGAAACACTGAGGCTGGATGACCCCTTGACATTGTTACCATGAGGATAGCTAGAAACCTTAAAACAACTCCTTAATCCACAAAAGTTTTCCCCAGCTCCAAAGCTTTTGTTTAGCGACCTATTCAGCAGCAAGACTCTTGTCCACTTGTAGATAACTGTTGGGCCTCAACTTAATTAATGACCAGAGCAGAGACTCTCTACTGTGAATTTCTTCAAGTTAGTAAAACAGCATTATAACTGAGTTTATTATTGTTGTCCTTGTGATTCCCACCTCCGTTATTATTTGGTTAAGGCCAGATAGAAAATGTTTAACTAGTCAGATTCTGCAACAAATGTGTGTTACTGTCTAAAAGTAAAAATTGTAACTCTGCTATTACTATCAGGGTAGAGCTGAATGAATTTCCAATACCTTTTCGTCAAACTGTGCATTAAAGTTTACACTTAATATAGTTCTTCTGATTTTCTATTACAAAAGGAGACCATTCCCCAACCAGAGAATGCAAACCTGAACACCATTTTCTCATCTCTTCAAAATGAAGCCTATAACTAATACTTTTTTAAAGTTTTAGTTATTTAATTTTTTATCACTGTATTTTATTTTCAGAGCTAGTAAGGTATCCTAGACAAGATGGAATGAGATGTGAATACTAATAATTGACTTGAGCATTAGAGATTGTGAAGATGGTACAGGCTAGGGCAAGGTTCAGATCTATCTGTTGTTCATAGAGTCCCTATGAGTCATAGTCAACACGATGACCCCCAACAAAAACAATAATTAAGATATAATCTAGAGAGAATTTAATGAATCATTTTCAGACGTACCCTTTTAAAAGTTTTACCAGCATTTTTCATGCGAATTTCTTCAGTCCAACTAAAATATCTTTGAGCACAAAAAAACTGTGTTCCCACTAATGCAGTGCTAAACGATATAAATCTGTATATTAAAAACAAATCTATATATCAAGATCTGAGGATCTCTCTGTTCTGATTAAATTGGATTGACTGTAGTGCATCTCATATATTGTATGAAAACGACTTTGTGGCAAACACCCTGATTATCATAGAAACAAATCATAAATTCTTTTTACCAGTTGTCCTTTTTAGCTGATGGATCCATGTAGAGGGTTTCTCCAGTATCACCAGGCAGTATAGAGGGGATCTCCAAGGGAGACTGAGATCAAACTGCCAAATAATAAGATGAAGGAAAACTCCGATAGTTATCAGACTGATTGAGCTTCCAGGCCCTGGCTTCCATTTCTTTCTTAAGACTTGAAAAAAATAAATTAAGAAAATCCAATTTCTCAGTAAACTTTTGTTAAAATATCAAGAAAAAAAATTTAAAAGAAATAATCCTGAGTAAATAGTTATTGACCCCCATGAGTTGTTAGAGGACAAAGGATTACTGCTTTGAAGATGAGGAACAGTTTCTAAAGAAAAGACCATTTCTGAGCCATCTCATGATTGGCAATAAAATCAAACATAGACTTTTTGTTCTCAATCTGCTTTATTCAACAAGAAAAAGAAAGCCAAGAGAGGACAGAAAAACACTGCACGGATACAGTCTCTACAAATCAGAGGGTAGTATCACACACTAATCAGGAGCACAAGGGAAGATCATGACGATTCATTCTTTAGATTGAGGACTTTAAAGGTAGACCTGTGGTTGACAAGATAATTGTAAGCAAAGGGCAGCTTCTTGGTTCTGCAGCAGCACTCAGTTTCTGTTATTCAAGGATAACAGATTGTTTTCTTCTCAAAATTATGTCAGACTGATAAGGCTGGTAATAAAATGATGACTGCATACCAGTAAAACACTATACTGTGATGATGAGCTGAGGAAGTTCAAGGGGAGCAGATACTGACAAACAGATAGAAAGACACTAGGCAACAGCAGCCCCGACTCAGCAAAGATCTTCTCAGCAAAGGTGAGAAGGCCAGAGGGGAGAAGCAACCTGAAGAGGGAACTGTGTAGCTGGAGAGCAGCCTGTGGAATTATGGGATTTAGAACTGATAGTAGAACTTCAATTCTCAAAGCTCTTCCTGCTGGAGGAGGAAGTGGTGGTATATTTCACAATGGAACTGTTGTTCCCAGTGGAAACAAAGCCACCTCCAATGCCTCTCTCACTGTCAGAACTGAAGCCACCCCCAAGGCTGTGACCACTACCATAAGAACAGCCACTGCCTCCACTAAGGCTTAATCCACCACCAGTTCTACTGGTGCTGCCATAGCTGTTGGAGATGTTGGACTGCACCACAACTGTAAGGGGAGAAAAACAAAGAAAGAATGATATATGGGAAGACTCCTTCTACTAGTCTGAATCTAGGGAAAAGAACAGAGGCAAGGGAAGAGCTTGTGCAAGAATACTTACAGATGTTGACTTGTCCAACACCTTCTCCTTTCAGCCTAGGAGAAGAGGAAATACAGAGAAGATAAGACCTCAGAAAGTCATTACCTAGATCATTGTGGGATGCTCCATCCCAGTAACAGCCACTGGAAATGGCCCTTTGGGTTGTTTTCTAAGAATAGCAAATGGTCAAAACCAAAGTGCCCTAGAACTATGATGTTGGGAATAGTATTGAATATCCAATGGATGTTAAAGGAACAAACAAGTTTTTCTTAAAGGAAATGTGACCAAGGTGCTCCTTAGAGGCAAGGATGGTGAAACTTCATATCACATAATTTGGATATTGCCAGTACTTGGAAAAACATGTCGTTCAGGGAAAGGTAGAGAGTCAAAGAAAGAGAAGAGGACCCTCAAGAAGATGATTGACATAATCCACTTTAACTGTGGGCTAGAGCAGGTCAGAGATAATGAGGATGGCTCAAGATAGGACAAAGGTCTAATCTATTGTTGATAGGGTTGTAGTGTCATCACCAACTTTTTTTTTTAAATTTAGTTTGTTTATTTTTCATTTCCATGAACATCTACAGAGATTTTGGAATTCCATTCATTCATTGCTGCACCCTTCTCCCCACACAAACCCTTCCCCCCCCATTTGCTCCTCTCCTTGAAAAGCAAAAGAAAAACTCCCTCATTGGTACACAATCCCCCTGCACCTCCCCAAACCCCACCCCCTACCCCCAAGTATAATCCACTCTGCAACCCTCATTGCATACTCCTATGATAAAAATAATGCCCTAAAATATAATACTTTTAGACTATTCTCTCCCTCATAGATTTCAATGCCATAAACATAGTTCATCCAGTTTTTCTCAGTCTTACCCTACCCCAATGCCAGCCTCATTCTACAACAGTGGCACCATATAGCATTTGTCCCTTTGTGACTGAGATACCTCACTCAGCATAATGTCCTCCAGGGTCACCCATTTTGAATAATATTGCATGAATTCCTTGTTTTTCAATGCATCATAGTATTCCATTGTGCGAATATACCACAGCTTCTCTACCCATTCATTTGTTGATGGGCATTTAGGTTGTTTCCAACTCCTTGCTATTGTAAACAAAGCCGCGATAAACATGGGTATACATATATCTACTTGGATGTCATTTATGGTCTCTTTAGGGTATAGTCCCAGTAGTGGAATTGCTGGGTCAAATGGTATCTTTATTTGCAACTTTTTGAGAAAGTGCCACAATGCTTTCCACAGTGGTTGCACCATTTTACACTCCCACCAACAGTGAATAAGGGTTCCAGTCTCTCCACAACCTCGCCAGCATTTGTTGCTTGCTGTTCTGTTAAATTTTGCTAGTCTTACTGGAGTGAGATGACATCTCATGGTTGTCTTGATTTGCATCTCTCTCAGGGCTAGGGATTTTGAACATTTCTTCATGTGCTTGTTGGCCATCTGAATGTCTTCCTTGGTAAAGTGTCTGTTCATATCCTGTGCCCATTTTTCAATTGGATTATTCTCCTTTATCTTGTTGTGGTGCTTGAGTATTTTATAAATTCTAGATATAATAACATCACCAACTTTTGTAATGCACATAACAACAGCAGCAACAGAAAGAGTGCCCTGAAATTGCACTCTTGAGGCTGAACATAAGATATTTTGAGGAACTTGTATGAGTTATTCACCTGGACTCCTCGCCTTCCAGTAGCTTCCTATAGGTAGCAGTCTCCACATCTAAGAACAGCTTGACATTCAATAGCTCTTGGTAATCTTTCAATAGCCTGGCCATATTTCGCTTGGTCTTCTGGAGGACATCTTTCAGCTCTGTCAGCTTGTTCTTGGAGTCCTTGAAGGACATTTCTCCATGCTGCTCACCATCAGCTATGGCAGCCTGCAGGTTGGCACACTAGATGGGAATAAGAGGCAGAAAGAATTTCTAAAAGCTTCTTCAGACAAAACTAGCTCTAGTTTGCAGTCTTTCCCAGTAAGGAAGAAAACTACTTTCCAGAAATGAAGACATTCACTTACCCTTTTTTTAGTAAATTTCAAGTCTTGTAAAGTTGGAGAACTTTTCAAAAACCTCACATACTTTATGAGGATGTAGGTAATGTCATTGCAGTGGAAAAAAGGACCAAGGGTAATGGGAAAAAAAGAGTATTACTTATTTTGTAGTTTTATCTACAAGAGCAAAACAGAAACATATTGTTGATGATTTCATGTGGATGCCACACTAACAAATAAAAAAATTACAAAGATCTTCAATTGAAGTAATGAGTTTTCCCATCAGATTCTTAAGATCTTGTCCCACCTCTGAATCTCTTGCACATTTGGGCAATACTGCTCTTGATATTTTCCCTTTGCTCCAATCTCCTTTACACCTTGATTCCCGGGTAGCTTTGCAACAATCTTCCTCAAGCTTTCTGATCTGTTCCTTCCCAACAGTTTCCTTTACATTTCCCAAGTCAATCATTCTAGTTGTGCAAACCTGATTTTAATTCCTCTGACATTTATCTTTATAGTTCTGAGTAACTCTAAGGAGAGTGACTTGGCAGAGCTCTTAGAGTTGGACCAAATTTTGTAATCTACACAGACATCCTCATCTCTTCATTTCCTCCACTGTCCTACGAGTACCTAGGAACTTGCTCAAATCTGAGTAGATGACTGATTGCTAGACGGTCAAACAAGAAAACTCTGCTTTTCCTCCCTATTGATTTACATCTGTCCTGTGAGATGACCTCACTTCCAAGAAATGCATTTACCACCTGGGATGTGTGGCCTGAATGGCCACCATGAGAAAGAGGGAGGGAAGGGTGTCACAGTCAGCTCACTGCTAACCTTAGTCTGGTACCAGGAATCAGCCTCAGCCCTGCTCCTCTGGGCAATCTCTTCATTTTGGGCTTTGACCTCAGCAATGATGTTGTCCAGGTCCAGTTTGCGATTGTTGTCCATGGACAGGACCATAGATGTGTCTGAGGTACGAGTTTGTATCTGAGACATTTCCTGCAGAACATAAGGTGGTAAAACCATCTTGTCTAGAGACATTCACAGGGAATTGCATCCCAAGAATCGGCCACCCATTAGTTAATCCGATTAGATGAAATAAAATGAGGCTTGTGATACTTACAGCATCAAAGATGACTTTGGGGAAATTGACCTCGTTTGTTAGACTATTCATGTTGGCTTGTAGACCAACCTGAGTAATGTGAGCAGCATCAACATCCTGGGGGCAGACCATCAATGTGGATCAGCTGAATACTACTTCCCATCCTCATCCCCATCCGATTGCATTTTTTAAGCTCTTTAACCAGCCTCTCCATTTGGGCAGGGATGCATACTTCCATCCTTCAGTGAAAACCAAACCAAACAAAACACACACACACACGTGCGCGTACACACACACACACACACACACACACACACACACACACAAAATTAAACCCTTAATCGCTGGCTCTTAAACAACCCACATTCTTCAGAGTCACAAATTGATTCTCTGCTGCCATGTGCTTATTGATTTCCTCTTTATATCTAAAATAAGAAAAGAACACAGTATAAATAAGTTGGCAGGTATGATGATATGGAAAAGGCAGTGTGATATTCCATAAGATGCAATAGTAACACATTGGTTTTTCTTGTCATAGAGACTAACGTATAATTTTCATGATCCCTAATTTTTATCTTTTTGCTCTTCCTCATATAGTCATATTTCCACTTTGCCCTTTGAGACTTTTTTCCCTTAGGCAATAATTGCTTCATTTTATTTGCATGATATGTACTTTTCTAAGAAATTGCATTTGTAGCCATATCCATTAATGCTGAAGTGTATTCTTTAGAGAATTGATTCTATTTAACTTTATCTTGAACTCACTTGTTCTTTATGTCCTCAACCAGGTCCTGTACACCCCTGAGTTCTGAGTCCAGTTGGCCTCTCTCCCCCTTGATAAAATCCAACTCTTTCTGCAGGGTGATGATGTAGCCCTTAAATAGATCATCCAAGTCCTGGCTGACAGGCTTGGTGCCTTGCTCTTGGAGCAGGAACCACTTGGTTCCAGGACTTTGTTCTGCTGCTCCAAGAACCGCACCTGGATGGGAAACAAGGTGGTCATTTGTAGACAAGGGAAAAAGGGAAAGAAGGAAATGTCTATGTTATCAGGTCTCATGAGAGACTTGGGTGGGGCGTCTCCATGGTGCTGATCTAGGAAGAACAGCTCAGAGACTTATGTTGAGCATCCTGTTCCCCTAATTTTTCCTTTACACCTTATAGATCTACCCAGAGTAATTTCCCCAAGGACCTTTGTGTTTTTCTTACCTTGAAAGTTATAGCCTGACAGTCATTTTCAACATTCCGTCTTCTCTTGGCAAGCAGAAAAACACATATTGTTTAAAGATAGCATTTGCAGGATATGTTGCAGGAAATTTATTTTACATGAAGTAGAGAGAATAGATGTTAACTGCTGTATCATTCCTAGATGAGAATCCACCTTCCCCTTTAGTGCATAAGTCTAATCTAACATGTCCTTTGTTGATAGCAATCCACTAGTTATAGAGTCAGTTCCATTTTTTCCTACAGACTATATAAAGTATTCTACTACCAGACAAAAACAACATCAATTTTCATTTTTGGTGAAAATATACTAAAAAACTAGAGCACAGAGAAGCCAAAGCAAAGGGAAGAAACCAAGAAGTTAAGGAGCTGAACAGAAGATTTCAAAGGGCAGCATGGGAAGACAAAACAAAGTATTATAATGAAATGTGCAAAGAGCTGGAGTTGGGAAATCAAAAGGGACAAACTCGCTCATAATTTCTTAAGCTGAAGGAACTGGAGAACAAGTTCAAACCTCAAGTTAAATCTAAGGATGCAATGGACAGAGTATTGAATGATCTGGAAAGATTAAAAGAAGATAGAAGGAGTACACAGTCACTGTACCAAAATTAAAAAAAAAATGGATGATACAGAAGAATTTCGTGAAACAACATGTGATCAAGAGGCAATGGTGATGGAAGAAGTTCAAGATGCTCTAAAGGGTTTGAAAAACAAAACAAAAACAGCCCAACAAAAAACCCCCAAAGAAACCACAAGGCCCCAGGAATTGATGAAATACCAATTAATACATTTCAACAAACAGATGCTGCCCTGGGCGTACTCATCAGGTTGTGCGAAGAAATCTGGAACACAACTACCTGGCCAATGGAATGGAAGAGATCCGTATTTGTTCCCATTTCAAAAAAAGATGACCTGACAGAGTCACTATTAACACACTCAAGCAAAATCCTGCTGAAGATGATAAAAAAATGACTAGAACAGTGCATCAACAAAGAACTACCACAAATACAAGCTGGGTTTAGAAGACATTATTTCCAAGGTCAGATGGATCTTGGTTGAAAGCAAAGAATACCAGAGAAACATCTATTTGTGTTTCATTGACTATACAAAGGCATTTGACTGTGTGGATCACAACAAATTGTGGATAACCTTGAGAAGAATGGAAATCCCAGAATATTTGATTGTGCTCATGGGAAACCTGTACTTGAACCAGAAAGCAGTCATCAGAATAGAGCAATGAAACACTGCATAGTTCAAAATAAAAAAGGGAGTGTGTCAGGGATGTGTCTTGTCCCCATATCTTTTCAATCTGTATGTGGAACATATCATTTGAGAGCCTGGACTTTAAGAGGAGGAGTGTAGCATTAGGATTGGAGGCAGACTCATCAACAACCTGCATTATGTAGATGGCACAACCTTGCTTGCCAAAACTGAGGAGGACCTGAAGCATTTGCTACAGAAGGTCAAGCACTATAGTCTTATTATGGCTCGAAGCTCAATATCAAGAAAACAAAGAGTCTAACCACTGGGTCAGTTTGCAGCACCATCATGGATAGAGAAGAGATTGAGGTTGTTAACAATTACAGCTTGCTTGACTCAACAATCAGAACTCTTGGCACCAGCAGTAAGGAACTCAAAAGATTAATTGCGTTGAGGAAGTCTGCTGTCAGGGATCTTTCCAAAGTGCTAAAGACTAATGATGTCAGTCTAGAGACTAAGGTACACCTGATCCAGGCCGTGGTCTTTGTAATCATTTGCTGTGCATCAGAGAGCAGAATAATGACTAAGGATGATAGAAGAATCAATGCTTTTGAGTTGTGGTGCTGGAGAAAAGTATTGAACATAACATGGACAGCCAGAAGCACAAATAGGTCTATCTTAGATAAACTCCAAGGAGAAATTGGAGGCAAGGATACTGTAGCTCCATTTTACATTCTTTGGGCACATGGTCAGGAAGGGCCAATGCTTGGTGGAGGAACAGTGCAGGAGAGGAAGACCCTAGATGAAACGGATTCACATGGTAACTGGAGCAATAGAGATAGATGTGTCTGTGTTGGGGTCAGTGAGGCAGTAAGCCTAATAGTGAAGATAGGGCAGGGTTCAGACCTATTATACATAGTGTCGCTATGAGTTGCAGGCGGCTGGATGGCACATAACAATATATTAAAACAAAATATTTTTCACAAATTTCTAAATACACAATTCAGTGGCATGATCATAGTATTTAAGTTATTTTAACATTTTTGTTATCTTTCCCCACATTATTCCTCCACTTTAAGCTCATATTTTCCCTATTACCTAGGATTCAGTGCTCTCGTGAGCAGCCTGTGCTATCTATATTGCTTAAAATATTCTGAGATAAAAGTGGATGCATTACTGTCTTTTATTCCTTTTCTATACTATGTTGTTGTTGCTGATTGCCTTCGGGTCGAGCATGACTCATAACAACCCTATTAACAAAAGGCTTGAAGCCCCTCTACAACTATCAACATTTATTAAAGTTCATAGAGTTTCCAGAGCCATGTTATTTAGGAAGTGGTTGCTACTCCAGATCTATAGATGATCAAAAGTTGAGAAATTTTCCTAGACAGAAATGAGGGCCATTTAAAAGATTCATTAAGTTTAAAATTGTTTCCATCACCTCTGTGTCTTGTCAGTCAAGAGCCATTGTGGATCCTGTGAAATACTAATCTGCACATCCTTCTCCTTCCTACATTTCTCCTGGTACAAGATCTTTGTGTCTCCAGTTAGAGGACTCTGAAATAGTTGACAAAGAGAATGTCCTGCTGGCTCACCTTATCAATGATGGAGGCAAACTTGTTGAGGGTCTTGATCTGTTCCCACTCTTCAGTCTTCACTCTCTGGATAGTTGGGTCAATTTGCAGGTTGAGGGGAGTGAGGAGACTCTGGTTGACAGTGACTTCTTGGATGCCCCCAGGAGGGCAGACAGGGAAGCCAGAGCCCCCATAGCCACCAGCAAAGCCAGTTCCTCCACCAAGCCCAAAGCCACTAGCAGCTCCAGCACCAAAACCAAATGCACCACCGGCTCCTGCTCCAAAGCCAAAGCCACCTCCAACTCAGCTGCCATATCCACTCCTCATGGCACAGCTGCCACCTCCAATGGTGATTCTCCTGGAGCCTCCCAGGCTGTAGAGGCTCCTTCTGCCAAAGCCAGCTCCTCCACAGGCCCCAGTGAGGCCCCCACTGCCCCTGGAGCGGGACACAGAGACGCTGCTGAAGCCTGAGCGGCAGGTCTTGGGGACTCTGGCTGAGCTGGTGCTGAAGGCACGATGGCTCATGGTGGATTTGCTAGACATGGTTCTCTAAAGACGAGAAGGTAAAAAAAGCTTGTGAGGTGGGAGTGTAGAGCTCAGAGGAGCAGAAAGCAAAGAATGTCCTCCCAGCAGCGCTTTATATATGGTGAGAATAGGCTGGGCACAGCCCTGAAAGGTGAGCTTGCAGGTTGGGAAAGACTAAAGTTTACAGAGAGTGAGAATCACACCCACATTATTAGGAAAGTCATAAAATAGGAATATTGCTTTTCCAATCATTTGTTGTTAGGTGCCATTTAATGCACTAGGACTCACTGCAACACTATGAACAACAGATCTTGCCATATCATGCATTATCCTCAAGATCTATGGTATATATGGAGATTAATGGATGGATGGACTAAATGAAGGGAAAAGAAAAATACAGTGAAGATTTGATGAGATATTATGATCAAGGGTATTGGTCAATTGCAATTAATGTTACAAATAAAAATATATGTTAAAGGTTGAGTGAAAACCAATTTTAAACAGACTTCTGATATACTCGAGCTCATTGTCAGTTAATATGCTAATTCATCTTGTTAAGGGCCTACCTCCCTTTTCTATTTCTTTTATTCTCCACCTTTCCCAACATCCCAAAATGTTTCCCCTGCCCCCCAAGGATTGACCCCACCTGACAACATGCCTAACATATTGTGAGATGAAATGTCACAATCCTTGCCTCTAAGAAGCATCCTGATTGCACGTCCTACTTGTGGTAGTCTATGGGATATTTAGTACTTTTCTCCAACACCATAGCACAGTCATTGTGGTAGTCCGTGGGATATTTAGTACTCTTCTCCAACACAATGAAGGGTAATCAAAGTTTTTGTCACTCTATTCATTGTCCAACTTTCAGATGCATAGGAAATAATTGAAAAGACTGAGGCTTGGATCAAGTGCACTTTATGGTTAAGCTGACATCTTTGCTCTTTAGCATTTTAGAGAGGTTCAAAGATTTATTCAGTGCAACATGTCTTGAATTCTCTTGGCTTCTGGTATTAAGGTTGGTTGTGGATCATGCACAACTCCAATTTTTTCTCCATCTAATGTAATGTTGCCTATTAGTTTAGGGTGAGGATTTTTGTTTTCTTGATGTTGAGATGTTCATATTGAAGGATGTAGTTTTTGATCTATGGCAAGTGCTTGAAGTCCTCTTCATGCTCTGCAAGCAAGGTTGTGTCATCTGCATAACATGAATTATGAGGTTTTCTCCAACCCTGAAGCTCTCACTTCTTGAATTATTTTCTCAGTGTAAAGATTAAATGTTGTTATTGTTGTTAGGTGCTGTCGAGTTGAGTATGACCCATAGTGACCCTATCTGAACCCTATCCTATCCTGTTCCATCCTCACATTTTCTGACATATTAGAGCCCATTGTGGCAACCACTGTGTCAATCAACTTGGTAAGGGTCTTCCGCTCCTTTCTGAGCATCATATCCCTCTCCAAGGAATTGCCCCTTCTAGCAACATGACCAAAGCATGTGAGGTGAAGCCTCATCATCTTGTCTGCAAAGAGCACTCTGGCTGCATTCCCTATAAGAGATATTTGTTCTTTTCTCAGTGCATGGTATGTTCAGTGCTGTTCTCCAACAGCACAGACAGCTCAAAGGCATCAATTCTTCTCTTGGCATCCTTATTCATTGTCCAGCTCTTAGATGCATAACAAGTGATTGGTAAGCCCATGACCTGAATCTGGCCTGAATCAGATGCATGTTCGTACTCAAACTGACATCATTACTCCTCAATAATTTGGAGAGGTCTCTAACTGCAGACTTTCCCAGTGTAATACATCTTCTGATTTCCTGACTGCTGGTATCAAGTAAGAAGAAATTTTTGACAGTTACAATCTTTTCTCCATCATGATGTTGACAATTGATCTAGTGGTAAGAATATTTGTTTTCTTGGCATTGATAATTAAATAACAACCTACCTTCCAGAATCCAGCTTCTTCAAACAAGAGGCTCTTTGTCAGGCCCCAACCGACTTTTAATCACAAAGGACAGCCCACCAAGTCCTCACTGGTTTAAACAAGAGGCTTTCATGCCAAAAATGATTGTTAATTAAATAAAAATGAAACTGTTTGGTCAATTAACAGATTGAATAGATATGGAGAAATGATACAATCCTGATTTGAGTGAAAGTTTACAGAGAAAATTTGTTTTCTGAACCACAAGTCATATATTTTATTTTTTTTTATTTAATAACAACCCCTACATTCCAACTTAATAATTTAATAACACCCCTACTCTTCCAACTTCCTTCTTGAATTTCCCATTTCCATTCATTTTTCATTTCTTATCCATTCCTGACTTTTAACCTTTAACCTTGCTTTAACCTTGGGCAAAAGTTGTCCTTTTGATCCTGTATGGTTGATTGTTCTAAGAAATGTGATCCTCCCTAGCCACTTTGAAACTTTGTCTAATTTTTGTCTAGTAGTGGAGTCTCAGTGGTAACTTCAGTCCCAGGTTTGAAGGATGACCAATGTTCATAGTTTTGGGGGTTCTACTAGTCTTTATCAGACTTGTAAATTTGGTCATTTTATTTGATTTTTAGTTTGGTTCCATAGTTTTCTCTCACTCCTTTGTTGTATTTCTTTCAGAGCTGTCAGTAACCTGGCACAATCTGGTCATGGAAATAGAAGTGGCCCTTTAATCCTTTAGACTAACAGTCTTTGAGTGTGTTTATTCTTTTTTGCTTCAAATGGTGAAACCAACAGTTTTCTGTTAGATGGCCACGTGTAACCTTAGGACCCTCAATCACTATACATCAAAGAAGAATGCAGAACATTGTCTTTGTGGACAACGTTATGCCAATTGAACTTGATGTCTCCCTAAGACTATGTCCCTGAGTTTCCAGGTACAGCATCTCATTTCTTTAGGGTGTTTGGCTAGGACTAAGATGCTGTCCTAATTTCCACCTCTGTTTGCCCAACTATATACATGGATTTATACATATATGAGTGAAACTACACTCGTGACTGTAGGTTTGACACATAATATTCTTTTTTTCTCTCTATAGGAGAAAGCATGAATGCAGTCTCCCACACCACAAATTATGAAGTCAAGTTTCCCACTTTTGGTGAAATTGCAGGTGTCAACACATCCTGAGTGCAATGGATAAGTCTTGCCCTGGGAAAACCACCTTCGTGATCATGGTATCTCCTCTGCCAGGTAAGAATACACATAATATTCTTTTATTTTCTTTCAGTATGTAATATGTTTTGTGAATCCTAAGATTGCTCCTTTCTAGTTAGTTTTAATCTTTGAGTCATATAAACTCTTCTTGGAACAGCATTTGCCAAAGGTATTCTGGTAGAGCAAAATACCATCATTAAGTTTAATGTCAAGTCATAATGACATTATAGGATAGGGTAGAACTGCCCTAAAAGGGTTCCCAAGGTTGTAAATATTTACAGATACAGACTGTCAAACATTTCTCTCGTGGAGAGATAGTTTGAACTGCTAGTCTTTCAGTTATTAGCTGAAATTTTAACCACCGTGCCTACAAAGTTTGTGAGAGGGAGAAATTAGGACTCTATGACTAAGAATTATTCCAGAACTAAGAATAATTCTTTTTAATCTTCACCTTCCAAACAAAGATATCTACAATGTGGTTTACAATACTATCTCTGATTTATCTCTACAAATTGTGCGGCAAAAAGGGGGGCTTACCTCTAATTTATTTCTTGCTGAAACTGAGCAGGACCTTGCTTGAAGAGGAAGCACTTGCTACAGATGGTCACGGACTGTAGTCTTCAATATGAATTGAAGCTCAACATATATTTCATAATAAATGAGCTCTTGCCTTCAGCCCACGCAACCCAGTCTGCACCATGACAAAGGATTCTTAGTTTTAGACCTGAGGAAATGCCATTGCCTCTGCCTTCACAAGACTTAATGGTTTAGAAGTGTCTGTTATTTTAAAAGCGATATATGTTAGGCTATTATGGTTATCAAAAGAGTCCAGCATGAAGATTGCATAGTGGAGTGTAGTCAGGGCTGGGTATTGTATACCAGTGAAGGAATTTTTCTTTTACTTTTCAAAGAGAAGAGTGAACTGGGGGGAGGGGTGGGCAGGGAGAAAAGTGCAACAATGAATGAATGGAAATCCAAATTCTCTGTAAATGTTCATTAAAATTAATAAAATAAAAAAAGAAGTGTCTGTTATAAAACCTCAGTGTTAGATTTGGCTTTGTGGTTACAGCAATGTTTGCCTTTACTGTGTCTTTGAGAGTGGTCTTTACTGAATTTTTCTTAGATCTGCAGCAGTGGGCATCCCTTTCCATTTTTTGAAGACTTTTGATCATATTTCTCTATCTTTGTGAGATGTTTGCCAATTATTTTTTTAAGAATTTTAAGATCTTTCCATTTTGGTGTTTATTTTTGTTTTACTTTTGGTAATTCCTGAAGAATGGGTAATTCCCAAACACATACACCTGGATGACTATCACATTTAAATATTTTCTAATAACTTCAAAACTATTTTTTTATTCTTTACTATCACAAAAATGATCTCACTCAAGACAGATATCTTGTCCTCTTTAACCTTATCTTCCCTAGAGCCATGTGCGACTCACTTGAGAGTCTTCTAGAACACATTGTGTTTACATCTGTATCATTCCCTTTGCAGTTCAGAGGACTCTGATAACAACCCTCTATTTGAGTTCCTGAGGCTACAAATCTTTATGGGAGGAGAGTCTCTTCCTATCATGGAGCACTTCATGGATTTGAACTGTTGACATTTAAGTTAGCAGCCTATTAAATAAGGTACTATGTTACCAGAGCTCTTTTACCATGTTTATAACCACTGGGCAATGAATACCCGTATATATTTGACTTTCCTGATGTAATAACTTGCTCTAGGACATAAATTTTGTATTACTGAAAATATCAAACTATAAAATTAGAGCTAATAATGTATAATTCCTATGAACCTAATTTTTAAACAATTTCAACTGTTTATTCTTACATTTAATTTAACTCCCCAGTAAGTGTGGAAATTATT